CTATGGCCTAAATGACGACTCTACATGTTTCGACGTTACAATGTCATCTTTTTGAAGGCCATAGATAGGCCTAAATAAAATGTTTTTAATTGTATACCAGTTTAACGTTGAATATTATTTATGATTTTAACTTTATACACAAGTGCCAAAATACTATAATTATCAGAAAAGTTTTCCAAACCTTTTAACTTTTTTGTCAACATATGAATTGATACATGATTATACGAAGCTGTATACTTAGTTGAATACGTTTTAATAATGATAGTAGTATCAGTTAATGAATAAACAAAATAAGGATGATGATGATGAAAGTGCTGTCGAAGAACAAAAACGTATTCATATTAATTAAATCATTATGAAGATAAATTACGAATATTATTCTATCTTTGAAATTTATAAAATTGATACCAGTCAGAGAATTCAATTACCCTGATATTTCAAACTTTTATTGGCTCAAGTTAGACTTGTTACAGTCTTATGATGTATTTTTTTTCCAGATCCAAAGACCCGTGTTCCCTTGACTTACATCCGGGGAGAAGCAAACTCGAATTACATCAATGCCAATTTCGTAAGGGTAAGTAAATATATATATATATATGTTTCCTTTATTTCAACTCATGGTGAACTAAGCTCCAAAAACATGAATCCTAATTTCATAACTCTAAGTCTTCCCTTTACTTCCATCCAATAAAATAAAATTCCAATTATGGGAATTCTAGTATTTTAAGAGTAAATCAATATGTGTTCCTCTCAGAAGAACCAAAATCTAGTTACATCATTCCCAGATTAATAAAGATTAGTGAATATATGTTCCTGTGATTTTCATCCCAGAAAACAAACTCCATTGACATTTGTCCCCCGGTGGGACAGCGGTAAGTCTAAGGACTTACAACTCTAAAATTCGGGGTTCGATTCTCCGCGGTGGACACAGCAGATAGCCCAATGTGGTTTTACCCTAAAAACTGAAAACAACAACAAACCATTGACATTTATCCTAATTTTATAAGGGCAGATTATGTATATATGTGTGTCTGTGTGTGCTTTTTTTAGCTGAGTCCCAGAAGGACTGCATTTTTTTACTATTTAGATGCCAATTTTCTCATGGTGACTGAGCATATATTCGTCTTATTTCACTTTAGAAAAGCAAAATCCTAATCTGCCAGTTTTGGAAGGTGAATGACAATAGATTCCATTTCTGTTCAGTTGAAGAGAACCATTTAAATTAATACCGCGTGTGTTATATATGTTTAAAAAAAACGTTTCACACAACCAACCAAATAATCTTTTGTGTGCAGCTTCATGAAGAGTGTATGTGGGTGTTGTTGTTTTTTATAGCAAAGTCATATGGGGGTTATCTGTTGTGTCCACCGAGAAGAATCGTACACCTGATTTTAGTGTTGTAATTCCGCAAACTTACAGCTGTCCCACCGAGGGACATTCATGAAGAGAATTAGTAGGTTGTAAAATATTACAAACAGACGTGAAGTCTGAACAGTGTGTTGTACCCAGTACTATTACTCGTTCCAGAGAAGCCAGCTTTCATTACTGAAAACAAAAACAATTTCTGATGTTGGTCTAGTAGTCATATTTGAACTACTAATGCTTTGACTGTTTGTTTGCGGTTTTCATCCCCAATTTCTAAACTTTGCATCAATCTATTTCTTGTTTATTTCGTACACGATTAAATGAGGAATATTTTATGTTAGAAATCCTTTAAAAATCATTAATTTAAATCTATTTAAATGTTATAAAGAATAATATTAACATTTCTAGTTTAATAAGATTTGCATTAAAAGTAGATTGGTTAGGTCTTTATGGAGGTATCTTAATTATATACGCATGTAATTTATAGGGTTATGGAGGAAAATCGGAATTCTATATCGCATGTCAAGCTCCTTTGCCGGAAACTGTGGCGGATTTCTGGAGAATGATTTGGGAACAACAGAGTAAAGTAATTTTAATGCTGACCCTGTGGGACGAAGATGATATTGTAGGTTACTTCTTCTGTGGCTAATTGAAATTAAAATGTGGAAAAAAAAAGGAATACTTAATACCTAAGCAAATCTAGGCTAACAAGAAATGATATGACCCATTGTAATTTAAAACGTTATGTAAATATATTCTATACAAAGTGCAAAATAGAGAACTAATATATATTCCTAAGTCTTGTAATTTTAATAGCATTTGTTTATCACCTGCAATAAAAAAGTAGATTCGATCAACATATTATGTGATAAGGGTAGCTAGTGAGAAATGCAGCATTATCAATAGGAGTGTAATATCCAGGAATTTACGTACTGAACTGCATTTATTGTGCAAACTACAATCTACAACGTACGTAATTTAAAAAAAAGTATATCAAGTAATTAAGTTCAAAGAGACAAAAGCGATCTGATGGAACCCGAAGAACAAATGGTGGAATTTGTTTGTTTTAGCGAAAAGCTACACAATGAGCTACCTGCGCTCTGTCCACCTCGGGAAATCGAACCTAGGATTTTTTGTGTTGTAAGTCTGTAAATTTACTGCTGACCTTTAAGGGGACGGATGGTAAAAAATAAGTTGTAGGAATTACTTGTCAAGACCTTCATTTTTCTCCTCCGACTCTCTGTCTCCAAATTGTTTTTAACCTTCAATTTACGACTCCTTTTTACACTATTCACTACCATTGGAGCCAGTAACCGTTACAGCAAGTTATAAATTCATTTCCACAATTTACTTAACATGCTTAAATAAATAAACAAACATGTTTATATGTATGGTGTTTTGAGATGTCTTTTACTCATACAATGATTCTGTATTATACGAATATGAAGAATATGTAGTCCCCCGGTGGAACAGCGGTAAGTCTACGGGTTTACAATGCTATAATCTGGGGTTCGATTCCTCTCGTTGGACACAGCAGATAGTCCGATGTGGCTTTGCTATAAGAAACACACACACATAAGAATACTTGGCATTGATGCTACTAATTTAATCCTGTGAATTATTTAGTAGACATATTGTTAAACGTACTAAAAGTAAATATGACGCACAGTCTATCATTCATCACTGAGTTATACCGGTTTCGAGAAATTTCACCCCTCATCAGTAACTTTGGGCAAATCGAAAGAATGACTTCATATAGTGGAGGAATGTATATTATATGTATGGTGTTTTGAAATATGTTTTACTCTGTACATAATGGTCCTATATTTTTGGATTTTTCAATATGATTATTCTTCTATTCTGAAGTTGTTAAATGTTTACATGATTATGAATTACATATAGGAATAAATTAACATACAGCCTTGTATTTCACTTAAAATGTCCCCGGTGGATCAGCGATAAGTTTACAGAGTTACAACGGAAAATCCGTGGTCTGATTCCACGCGGTGGACAGCGAACAAAGAGCCTATAATGTAGCTTTGCGTTAAAGCAACAACAGCATCACGTAAGATTAAATGTAGCCTGGGATGTACACACATTCAATATATGAATAATTATTATTATATATATATATACGCGTGTAAGAGTCTATCTTTGCTAAGATGACGTGTATTTTACAAAATATTATATGATCAATATCCCCAGTTCTGTAACTGAGAAGTTAAGCACGACAGAAGCACTTCTTCAAATGCTAAAGAGACTGTATATATAGTGTTATTTGTATATCTATTCAGGATAATGGATATATTAAACCTGATTAAATCAAGAAACTATAAAACAAATGTATGTCCAATAGAGTATAAGAAAGCCATTAGTTTCATGAACGATAAAATAGAGACAATAGTAAAAAAAACTTCTCATTTTCCAACAGCCACGGTGTGCGCCATATTTCTCAGAAAACATAGTCAATTGCCATCGCGTGTTTGGTGATTTCCAGGTATCCTTGCAGAAAAAAGAAGTTCAAGAAAACTACACTATCTCGGTATTTCGGTTGTATAATCTGGAGGTAAATTTCAGTAAACGTATTCAAATTTATAAATACCTAATTGTTAAATATGTATATAAATAGACCGTGTTAACTACGAGTAAATCAAGTGTGGCCTAGTGATTAGCTTGCCTGGCTGTGGATACGAGGGTCCAAGGTTCGCGTCGCACCGTCAGTGAACACATTCCACACATTCAGAGGTGGATGCGTTATAATAGTGACAGTCCATTTTACTATTCGATTCAGTGCTGGACAAAGTCCTTGTGGCGGCAGTTTCTCCCGGCTGTTTACCTTCTCTTTGGTTAGTAATTCAAAATTAGGGCAGGCTATACCTAAGCTGTAGGAGTCTATGACCTGGCTGTTCAGCCCATGTGTTGTATAAGATGTTCTTAAAATTGAAAATACCAAAACCTGCCGTTTGGGAAAAGTATGGTGTATCTTGTAATAATTTTTCTTTATCATTATGCACGTTAAAGCCGATAATTAGTATCTAAGACGTTTAGTTGAAATATGAATCACCATTATTTTTTAATTCATAGTTTTCTACTAAAAATTCAACAGAGATTTTGTTTGTTAACAGTCATCATTCTCTCCTGAAAACATTCATTGATAACTTCTGATCGGAACTAAAATGTTTCTAAGTATCAATTAAATAACATTTAATTTCTACATAGTAACAAGTGATTAGAGGTACGTCATCGCACAATACGTACAAAACAAGTAAAATTTATAAAGAATTAGATGTATGAAATTACCCGTTGTTAACGATATTTTCAGTCGAAGTACATTTGCTTGTTTGGTTTGTTCTGAATTTTGCGAAAAGCTACTCGACAACCAAATGTGCTAGCCATTCCTAATTTTGAAGTGATAGAGTAGAGGGAATGCAACAAGTCAACGCTAACCACTGCCAATTCTCGGGCTACTTTTTACCAACGAAAAGTGGAATTGACTGTCACGGCTGAAAATGCGAACACGTTCGAAGACAGGACTCGAACCCGGAGAACGTCACATTGCGAGTCGAGTGATCTAATCGCCTGACCATGCTAAGCATGTATACTGACCACTATAGAAGTTGGTGACAAGGGAATTTCAGGAAAGGATGGTGGACAAAATACAGAGCAATAAGTACTAAGAAAAAAGTTAGTGAAGAAATTCAATAGAAAGTGGATATGTGGAGTAAACGACAAAAGAGGACTGTCCATTCCAAACCGTTAATAATACGAGTCTTTAAGCTGAACAGGTCACGGAGAAAAATGGGGCGAGGAAGTGAAGAGAGCCTTAGCCTTTTCTCTACATTGTTAAAGGGCGGTTTGAAAATGATTTGTCCTTATAAATTCGATAAAGATTACGTACTTTCTACAATAAAAAGAAAATTAAATTATACAAATTGTTAGTTTATATATATATATATAAAGCAAACTTAGCACCCCAGTTTTTTTTTCAACTTTAATATTATGTATAAATAACTTATCAAAAATTAGAGTACTACTGACTAAAAGTTCTGTCAAGAGTGCGTATAATTTCGAGTGTTTCTACAATATCTCATTGTAAATAACGTATATGTCCTTCTTGAATTGTCTCTCTTAGAGAAATTTGTTTCGAGAAATAACTCATCTCTGGTACAGAACCTGGCCACCGAATGGAGTT